AGCAAAATGTCTTTCGTGGATTTCTGTCCACTTCCAGGGAGCCTGTTTATCCAAGAGGCGGTGTAACAGCTCTGCCACTGTAGCCCTGTGTGGAAGGAAGGAATGGTAAAAGTTTAGAAGTCCAAGGAAGGCTTGAAGCTCGCTCTTCGACTTGGGACTTGGGGCCTGCTGTATCGCTTTGAGCTTGGACTCAGCAGGATGGATGCCTTCGGCATCTATACGAAAGCCCAGGAATTCAGTGGAAGTTACTCCAATTTTGCATTTTTCCTGCTTAAGCTTCAGCCCCGCTTCGCGGAAACGTAGCAAAACAAACCGGAGCCTTTCAGACAGGTTTTCAATTGATTCCCCTACGCTGAGGACATCATCAATATGGGCAAACTCCCGGAATGTTCGCTCCATTACGCTTTGGAAAATGCCAGGAGCTACATTAACCCCAAACTGCAGCCTTCTGATTTTGAAAGCTCCCCAGTGCGTTACGATCATTCGGGCTTCTGCCATTTCATCATCAACCGGTAGCTGTTGATAGGCCTGGGCCAAATCGAGTTTGGCGAAAACTCGGCCTCCTTTGAGTGAGGCCAAAATGTGGCTCACCACAGGCACCGGATAAGAGTGCTGCTGTAACGCTTTATTTAGCGTACATTTATAGTCAGCACAAATGCAGACTTCCCCGTTGGCTTTGAGTGGTGTGACTATGGGTGTCTCCCATGGACTCTATCCACAGGTTCCAAAATGCCTTGCTGTAGCAGTTTATCCAGCTCGGCATTAATCTTTTGCTTAAGCACAAAAGGCACCCGACGAGGCTTAATCCTAATCGGTGCAATGGAGGGGTCTAACCGTAAGGCAATTGGAGGCCCCTTGTATGACCCTAGTTCTGGGCTGAACACATCAGAAAACTCCTTGCAAACCTCTGCAAGACCTGCCATTTGCAAACTGTGTAGCCCCATCACCTGAATTCCAAGTGCCTCAAACCAATCGAGTCCGATTAGACTCATGCGGTCACCCTCAACCACGACAATGTCCAAAAACCCTTCAAAGTTCCTACACTGCTCTCTGAGCATGGCCTCCCCTTTCATACTGACTTGAGAATTCTGAAAATCCGTTAGAATAAGATTTGACTGCCTGAGTTTAACTCTCTGGCCGCTTCTACAGATCTGCTTGAGGTGTACTGGGAAATGATTGACAGAGCTGAACCCATGTCCAGCTCCATTGTTAAGGGGACTCACTGCAATTTGACATCAATATGCAGCTTCTTCTTCAACGGCCGGTGGGCCCGTTCTCAATACGCTTCTTCGAGACGTGCAAAAACCCACCCTATTCTGGCTGGGGACCCTTATACCTTTCTGAGGCAATTCTTCCAATGGACGGTGTTTCTTGCGACCCAAACAGACGGCAGCTATGTGGCCTTCCCGGCCACACACCTGGCAAGTAGAAGAGTGAAAACGGCAGTCGGTACGCTTGTCGCAGCCTCCACATCTGAATCACCGAGGGTATGGAACTGCCTTGTCAGACCCTTTGTCAGATTGCTCTTGAGACCTTCTTTCTGATGGCTGCTGCAGACAATCGACCTCATTTTCGGATTCTAGTTTGGATACCTTTCTAGCAACCTCTTGATGGACTGAGCCCAAACACTTAGAATTCTTGGAAAGCTGCAAAGCCTTAATAGCTCCTCCTGCTGCTTCTTCGGCCGTGATCTCCCTTAGCGCGTCTTGGAAGGAAATAGCTTCTTTTGCAAAATTTTTTGCTGCAGTTCTTGGCTCGTCAACACACAAACTAGCTGATCTTGTAGCCGTTCTTCCAAATCTTTGAACTCACAGGGCCTTGCAGCTTGACGCAGAGCAGCAATAAAGTCTGCAGCAGACTCTCCTGGATGTTGGTCCCACTGTTCGAATGCATGACGCCATGCAATCACCGACAGCTTTGGTTCAAAATGTTCCCTTAACATTTTCTTCAGCTCTGCGTAAGCGATAGATTCCAAAGCTGCTGGAGCAACCAAGTTTTCAGCAATGTCAAAAGTCTCTTGCCCACAAACACACAGTAACATTGCGGCTTTGAGCCTGTCCTCCCGAACTTGGTTTACCCTAAAGTAGTTCTCCACCCTGGCAACATAGGAGCTCCAACGTTCAGGATGCAATACATCAAATTCAGACAAACATCCAGTCGTTGCCATGATTTCTTCTTGGCAGCCTCTTCCAACGCCTCGTGCTGCTCAGGCTTGTGAAGGGGTTCCAGGACGAACCTTGACGAGCTCTCCTCCAGAGTCTTTGTACTGGCAGGCAGAGTTGCACAAGTTGGAATGCCGAACTTCCAAGTACTTCGGGCCTTCCATGGTGAGTCAGCCTAGTATTCTTTTTCTTGCAGCACGATCCCACCTTCATCACCAATGTTCTGTTCTTCATGTTGATAAGGCATTGAAACGAAGCAGGAGTAACAACAGATGCTTCTTTATTTAAGCTTCAACAGAACAACACAAAATGGCACTGATCCCCTTTATACCTTTTGCAGGGAACAGTGTCAGCCAATAAATGCAATGTATTTTCCTGCTCTGCACATGCGCAATAGGCTGGAGACAGCCTGTCTGGCCCGGGCAGGCCATGTGGTCTGCCCGGGTCTCTCTGCAGCTTCCTGCACCTGCTCTGTCAATCACAGGCCCAGGACATAACAGTGTCCATTTTAAGTCTTGAGCAGTGGGGGGATTCAGCCAGTTCGCACCTGTGGCAGAACTGGTAGCTAATTTTTTGATGCCCAGGCCCAGAATGGACATCCGGAAGCGGCATCCACACAGAGAACTGGTTGTTCACATATTTGAATCCCACCACTGGTCTTGAGATATTATAGATTAGAACAGACATGTCAAACACAAGACCCAGGGGCCGGATGCGGCCCACGAAGTGGTTTCATGTGGCCCACGAAGCCATCCTGGAAACAGTGAGGGAACGGCCCCTGTTGCCCAGGCCAGCCAGGAGCCAATGTGCAATTCTGTCGTGGCCATCTATGCTGAAACGTATTCAGTCTTAGCTCCACAAGGTCATCTGGAAACAGCGAGGAACCAGGCCCTGCCGCGTCGGCCCCGCCTCCTGGGTGCATGCTGGGGAAGTGTCACCCTTTGTGAGGAATGAAGAAATGCACCATCACCTGGAAGTGGCCAGCAAATGACCCTTCCCTACTTCACATATCTGGCTTGATGGGCTCCACGGGAGAGATTTTGGCAGGCAGCGGGCACTCTCCTCACAGTGCCAAGAGCTGAGCCAGGTGGCGTGAATCTGATGAGGTCTAGCCCCCAGCTTGCCCAGTTTCAGCAGGCAGCAAGGTGCAAAGCTGGTGAGCTTCACACAGCTCGGCTCAACCTCTCGATGCTGTGAGGAGAGTGCCCCACTGCCTGCTGAAATCACACCCACCCCACTCCATCCACGCACACCCAGTAGGCCACACCCACTCTGGCCACACCTATCCACCCCCGCAAAGGAAACTGCAATGCTGATGCGGCCCTCAATGAAATTGAGTTTGACACCCCTGGTTTAGAACCTAGAAACGTGAAGATCTCTACTGTTGATACTGTGTTGTCAAGTATTGTAACTGTCAGAATCCAATCATATTTCATCTCTAGTTATCAATTATAGAAAACCCCATTTCTGCCTTCTCTGGATTCTGTCATACAATGAAGGGAAGGGGGTGAACAAAGGGGCTTTATGGCCCTCACTTCCTTCGGTACAACTTCAAAGGGATTGAATGCAGATAGCATCAAAAAGGCCTAATCATAACAAAGTGGGCTATTACCTTTCATGTAGTTTTCTCTGAAGTCTCCATCCAGCCGGCAGTAAGGAAAAAGGGGGTGGGAACGTAATGCCTGAGACTGTTGCTGGAAGTAGGGGGGGATTGGGTGGGGCTACTGGGAAACCCCTTAAAACCTTGAATGGGAGAGTTTGGACCCCAAGTCCTGTCTAGAATGCCTGCAACCATTTTCTCTTAATAAAGGATTCCTGTTGGAAGAATTATTCCAAGAGTTCTGTCTTCTTAAGATGCAAAGTGGGGTGGGTCCTTAAAGTAACAGGTGATAGAGTAGGAGGGCTTCTCCTAAAATCTATTATCATTTCTACAGTTTTGAGTGTGTTCAAGACTGTTCTGACTGCACCAAAAAGCTAATTGTTCAACTTCCCACCTGTATGCAGATTCGTCATTGTCTCGAATCACTGTTATCTGCAAACTTAAGTACTTTAACAGAGGGATGCTTTTAGATGTAGTCATTGGTATATAGAGAGAAGTGGAGAGAGCACACAGCCCTGGGGGAGAGGGTTGTGCTAATTATACAGGTATCAAATGTAATTTTGCCTAGCTTCACCTGCTGCTTCCTATCTGTTAGAAAGCTTATGATTCACTTACAAGTGTGGTCAGGCACAGCTAGCTGAATCAGTTTAGTTAGAAGAATATCTGAAATGATGGTATTGAATGCCGAGCTGAAGTCTACAAAAAGGACCCTTGCATAAGTCCTTGGAAATTCAAGATGTTGTAGGATGTAATGCAGAGCCATATTAATAGCATCATCTACTGATCTATTTGCTTGGTAGGCAAATTGCAAGGGGTCTAGCAGGGGATCTGTGGTGTTCTTAAGAAAGAGACACTTACAAGTAATTTAATAATGGGGATAAATATGATCATAAGCAGCAGCTAAGTAGCTACATAAGTGAAAGTGTTTTTTTAAAAAAACTGCCATACAAAATTCTGTAATGTACTCAATACATGGTAGCTACAAAGCTTCCAGAACCCATCTTTCATGATTTAATTTATATGCTGTGCAACTCAAATCTGAAACTCATGCAAAAGAGGTCTCAAGCCAGGTTTAAAAAACAAGAAGTTTGGAAGAGACACAACAAGCCTTTAAAGAAAACATCAGTTCCACAAATAAATGCCTTTGCAGACATAAGGTTTCTGGTAATTTCCACAATCCAAGCCAAGATAGCCATGGAGAGCAATGTCCAAAAACCAGAACACATACAGCCGCCTGAAATGCTTTACCTTTTGTCGCCAGGAGCTATCCTTTGGGCCTGAAGAGGGCGCCTGAAATACAATGCCAATCTATCCCTTCCCTCCACCACCCATGTGCGGTTCTCAGCGAGCTAACCCTCAGCAACCAGAACCACAGCGGCAGAATTCTACTTCCGAAGCTTCTGTTGTTAGGGCAAGCGGGCGTACCGTTTCTACGCACAGGAGCCAGCGCGGGCTTTCCCCATCGAGCAGAAGCTACTCTCTTGCTCCTTTCATCTATTGCGCGAAGAAGCCTCCAGTGGGCGGGAGCTTAGGAGAGGTGGAAGGCGCAAGAATCACAATCAGAGGCTGCTCAGTCAAGATAGTAGAAGTCTACTACCGAGATCCGCTGGGATAGGATAAGCGCGAACTTGAGAATCCCTCCATGCCGGCAGGTTTGCCAGGCAGGAAGGGAGGTGCAAGCTCTGGAACATGCAACTGCCTTGCTAGCCGACCTCTTGTTTTCATGGGCAGTAAGTAATTTTTTTTTTATTTTTTTTTTTTTGCCTCCCAACGTCGACGCGAAGGAAGAATGGGAGATGGCCCGCTTTGCCAGTTGTCCCCTGGGCCAGGTTCTTGCGATTTGAAGGCAATAGCGTGCCTTTGGAAGGGAATTTTCGAAAAAAGGGAGAACGTTAAAGTTGCCGAGGAAGATCGTTCTGTAAGTATTTATGCTCAATTGGTGTAATACTTTTCACAGAGAAACTCTCATCCATCATCCACCATCTTTTATGCCGTGCAGAGCTTAACAGTTTAAGTAACCGCAAAAAAGGAGACTGCACTGGTAGTAGGTATCCTTTTCTAGTGATGCTGCTCAATCCTGAAATAAGAGTAGAAATTAAAGTGCTCATGCGCGTATCTAGAGGCTATCCCACAGGCAGCCCATCTTTGCAACGATCCTTAATCCAGTTCGGAGAGTGAGGTGATGTTTTCAGACAAATTGGATTTTTGTTATTCCAATTTAGCTTCTCGGTTTTCCCTTAATCTTAATAAAGATGGATTTTATTTTGAATTTATTATCTGGTCAAACAAATGTGTCAATTGGTTTTGAGAAAACTAGGATAAATATGGAACTCAAATTTATGGACAACAGTCTCAGAAACTGTTTACTTTTGCTATCTTTTCTAAGGCTATATTTTTGTTAAAGACTACTAGCAAATCACTTATATGTTGCAGCAAATGGGTCTATATAACCATTTCAAGTTGAGTGCTTTATTTTTTTGCGGACATTTTAAAGGGTGTGCAGTAAGCAGAGATCTGGATGCCTCAGGTAATTGTGGCTCCCTTGTGTTTTTGTACATATAGATCCTTTTAATTGCTACAGAATGAATCATGTTCTGATCTAACATCAAGTTGGAATATTGTTTTGTTTGAGAGTAGAGATTAACATGTGAAAGCATTAATTATTCCTATTTGTAGTTCAGCAAGGAAGAGGTTTCTATTTTTCAACACAGCTGTGTGATTGAGCTATCTCCACTAGGTTATGTCTAGTCAATGCTTTTTTTGTAAAAAAAAAAAAAAAAGGTGCCGGAACTCACACACATCATACAACCCGCCTTGCCTACCCTACAAGGTTCCATCCAAAAAAGGTGCCAGAACTCTGTTCTGGGCGTTCTATGACAAAAAAAGCCCTGTGTCTAGTCATAATGTGAACAATTTGTTTGCATTATAAATTTATGATGGCTCATCATTGCTATTATGACAGCTTGTGTGAAGAGTACTCAAGCCATAGCTGGGACTGAAATTGAAAAATGCACTCCACATCTTATAGAACTTTGGCAAGTCTCAGCTTCTGATTAATAACTATACATTTTTAAAAACTTTAATTTGGGCCAAGAAAAACTTTACAGTGCAGTCAAACAAACAGAAATTTATTTACTGTACAATTGTATTTACATGATAAGTTGCAATTGCAGCTCAACCATTTCTCTTCTGGAAGATGTTCCTTTTAATTTTAGCCACAGCATCCTACAATCCTATAATAAATTTATAATAAATTTGAAGATACCATTTCTGTATTAATGGTTAAGCAGGACAATTAAGATTGTACAAATGATTGAAGAGTTTTAACTGTCTGCTGTTTTTGTTCAGCTAAGAATTATTGACAAGAGAAATAAGAGGTAATGGATTGCAAAGTGCAATACTAAAACATTCAACTGAAATAATTAGTCAGTTAGATAAAGGGGTTTGTAAATATGCAATGAAATCTGGTGAAATACAATGAAGCATTTGAGAATGAGGATCAACTGATATATATATATATATATATATATATATATATATATATATATATATATATATATATATATATCAATAATGATGGTGAAAATGCGACTCCCGGGCATAATTATAAATGGAATGAATAAAGCGCGTTCACCAGGAGAGTTTAAAGTTAAAATACTTTAATTAAAGTATTTTACTATATTAAAAGGTTGCCAAGCTTTCGTTGGGAAAACTCCCCAACATCTTCAGGGCTGAGAGACTGTTTCTAACAAGATGGTTTAAATGGGTTCCATAGACGTCTGCGCTTGGTTCCTAGACCGTGCCAGCATTCCCCGCTGAACAGCTGATAGGTGGGAGGGGGAATCGGAGTAAAGATTTCTTCCGTCGTTCTCTCGAGCACTTGTGTTCACATCTCCATTTGAATCATCCTCCTACATCATGGTGTCCTCCATGCTCATCTTCCCTCGTAGGTCAATATTCAAGTTAAATCACCCCCATTTCTGTGAGCAAAAGTCTGTTGGTATTTGGGCAGATTTCCTGCTCATGTTACTTTCCCTTTTATCAAGCGAACGGGTCGTCATCACATGTTTTTTCTCCCCTCTCTGTATGGGATATTCACTTCTATTATTATTATGGGTAGTGCTAAATTTAGTGGTTCTATCCTCAAATTTCTTAAGCGCTCCAATGTCATTATTGTTGTTTTCTCCAATTAAAGGGGGTGTGGTTTCCCCTTGATGTTGTTGGGAGGTTTCTGGGTAGTCTATATCAGATTGTTTCTGGTAGGGGGGAGGTGTAGCTCCTGGTTTAGAACGTTGTGGATGTTGATTGTAAGGTTTGTGATATAAAGGATGATGGTTTGAGTTCCATTTTCGTAGCGCTTGTTGTGCTGGGTGCAAGTCAATGTGACGATTGATTGAGTTGTTATTCGAGAACCAGGCTTCTTTTAGCAGCCGACCTCCCTTCGTGGCATCACTGGCTACGATAAGGGTGTTATTGAGGTCGAACTGATGGCCTTGTTGTGCCATATGCATCCAAAGTTGTGAGTGTGGTTCACCTCGTTTTATGGCCAGTTTGTGTTCGTGGAGGCGAGTTTTCAAGCGTTTGGCTGTTTCTCCCACATAGTTGCCTTCGCAGTTTTTGCAGTTGATCTTATAAACAATAGCAGATTTCTCCATGGTAGGTAGGGGGTCCTTTGGACGCATAATTTTTGATCGTAGGGTTTGGTTAGGTCTGTGAGCTACTTCTATACCATGGGGTGCTAGTAGTCTGGCTGTGGCCTCTGAGATGTTACTTATGTATGGGAGGGAGATGCGTGTTTTTTGTAGGGGGGAATCCCTTCTTCGTTGGGTGGTCTGGTGCTGGAAAGTTGTACAATGTTGTTTGATAAATTTTAATGGATAACCATTATACATGCACGTACGGAAGAGGTGTCTCCTCTCTTCTTTCTTATATTCATCCGTGCTGCAGTGGGAGTCAACGCGTTACCCCTACCTACCATGGAGAAATCTGCTATTGTCAGCCCTGAAGATGTTGGGGAGTTTTCCCAACGAAAGCTTGGCAACCTTTTAATATAGTAAAATACTTTAATTAAAGTATTTTAACTTTAAACTCTCCTGGTGAACGCGCTTTATTCATTCCATATATATATATATATATATATATATATATATATATATATATATATATATATATATATACTATTACTACTACATATATATTACTACTATTACTACTACAGCTTCTGCTGATCTGATCTTTAGTTTTGCTAGATATTTGAATTCAGCAGAAGCCCTTGTTATGAGGATATGAGTCAACTTTTTGTGATAGACCAGGTCAGGAAACAGACTTTTCACTGCATTGGAGGATTAGAATTATATTTTATTGAGATGGGCTATAATAATAGAATCTTGCAAGCCTGATGGGACTTTACCTCCCTTCCCTCTTTATATCCCAGTGAATCGTCGAGGAGCCTGCATGAGTCTCTTTCAAATACGTAATATCTTGTTTCCCAAGACTGAAGGAATGTTTCAACCCTTTTTGCTTTTAAAATGGTTCTTGCCTATTTCTCTCAAGGTTATTTCCTTGATTCCCTAAAATATGCTTCTGAAACATAAGAGGCTTGCTGGAAGAATATTATGTAATTTATTTAAAAATATCCCATTAAAAGTAAAATAAAATGTTCACATTCATCCTGGGTGCAGAGTATGGACATAGTTCAGCTATAGATAAATGTTGCTTGATTATATTAGTAAAAAAGTAAATTAAGAAATACTTTGGTAGAAGCAAGCTGTTCTCAACTACATCTTCAAGAGACAAAAGCACAAAAGAAATCACTTAGTGACCCTCATAGTGCTCAAAAGAGGCTTATATTGGAAAGCTCAATGTTTCATGAAATTAATTCATGAAAGAATCAGCCATTATATGTAGTTTAAATATATATTTCAGACTTATGATTCTAAAATATTGAGGATAGGATGACTTCAGAAGAGCGCAATTTTTAAGGCCCAATTCTAAAAAGTAACTTTGGCATTCTGGAAAATAAAACCAGTCTGAATGAAATATATTTCAGATTAGTGGAAGAATGGAATAAAGTCACAATTTGCTTCTGACTTTCATTTGGAATTTCAGACTGGGTCCTGACTTGGTTTGGATTTATTTGGAGGTTGCCCAGTTCAATTTTTTAATGTTTATGTTTTTAGTGTGAAAAACAAATGGCTGCAACTCCCACAGAAAGCAATACTGTAGTGGTTTTGTCACGCTGCCATGAGGTCCTCAAGTGTATACTGATTGGGGCACAAAAGGCTGATATTCATATGTGCTGTTGTCTGAATGTCACCACAATTGCAAAGAGCAGAAGTTCGTTGTGATTATTATATATGTTATTGTTATATATGTTACAACTTGAAACAAGTTGGACAAATAGTTGTCCAATCTCTTCTTGAAAACCTCAGCAATGGAGGAGCCACAACTTCTGGAGGCAAGCCATTCCACTGATTAATTGATCTCAGTATAAGGAAATTTCTCCTTACTTCTAGATTGGTTCTCTCCTTGATAAATAAATTGTGATTTTATTTATCTGCCTCTTGTCTTGCCATCAGGTGCTTTGTGAAATGGTTGCCACCCTTTTCTTTGTGGCAGCCCCTCAAATATTGGAACACTACTATCATGTCACCTCAATCATTTTTACTAGACTAGACATAACCAATTTCTGCAATCGTTCTTCATATGTTTCAGCCTCCAGCTCCTAATCATCTTTGTTGTGCTTCTCTGCACTCTTTTTAGAGTATCAACATTGTTTTTATATTGTGGCAACTAAAACTGGGTGCAATATTCCAAGTAGGGTTCTACCAAGACATTATAAAGCAATGCTAACACTTCACATGATATTGATTCTGTCCCTCGGTTAATACAGATAGTCCTTGACTTATGACTGCAGTT